ATATATATATATATATATATATATATATATATATATATATATATATATGGGAAGGTACAGATTGAAGCTATTTATTTTTGGTACAAGGTGGTCACATTAATCTTGCCCATTGGATATAAAATTGGGTGGCTACAATTATTCCATTGACCAAGCTCAAACTTCCAAAGAAATTTTTTCGAATTTTGTGACATATACACGCTATCAAAATTCACATCAGATACTTGTAAGTAATTGTGCTTACCTTGTATCAAAGGTAAATAGTCTCATTATATACAATCCCATATATAATACTAAGTATAAATTATAAACATATTTATAATAAAATTTATTTTCCTTTTATCTATACATGGACTGGACCAAACTTGGTGGATCATGTATGAATACAATGACCCGACCTACTATGCTAGCAGTTAACACCCCTAATAATAAGGGATGGCTTTCTATGTGAACCCATGTATATATGTGACCCTTGGCCTCAACTATAAACTGAGTAAATGGCTGAGATGGTTTGAGTCACAATTTCACATGCCAACACTTAACTGTCATATCTTAATCATTTAACTTATAGTGTTTTATTTTATTTTTTTATTCTACAAATAATTTTGAAGCAAAATTTGGGGCATGCATGGATCTAACAAAAGCGCACATGATAAAAATATTTAAAAAATATTTTTGATAATAAAAATTATCAAAATACCCCTAAAAATTGTATGGACATTTTGGTCATTTATTTTTACATAAAATATATTTTTTTATTTTTCCCAGGTTTGTCATATTTTTCTGATGGGCCGCCCAAAATTTCATAAAAAATATATTTTATAAATAAAAATGAAAAACAAAATAGGTAAGAACACTCGTATAGAATGCTGGTATGTTTTAGTCAATTTCTAAGCGTAAGAGGGCAATATTTGAGTTTTGAATGGTGGGTTTAGGATGGCATTTTAGGCAGAGGTTGTGCGCACGCCCCAATTCAACACCCCACTCAACACAAAGTCGAACTCCACCCCCAACCCCCCCACCCGCAACAAATACAATTACTAAAACATCCTCTCTCTTTTGAAGAAATGTCTAAGATGCCTTGCCCTGTGGGCAATAAAGTTCATACACTAGAAAAGTTTACTGTATACCATACTATTGTAGTGCAATAGCAGGATATTCATTGAATCAAGATTATGACCCCATTTGAATGTTGATCGTTGGGAGTTGATCTCCACCATCCGTTGCTAAAGATGAACAGTAGATGTGCCTAGCGTGTATCATTACTATATATTACTACTCCATCGCATAATTTTGTCTAAAAAATTACCAAATAATTGTCTAAAAATCTAAAATATTATGGGGGTTTGGAATACCAATAAAAACATGATGAAGTTTCTCCAGGCCTAGGCTTTATGAAAAAAAAGAGTAAAGCCTTCACCTAGAAACCGGTTGAAAAACACTTTGGGTATAAAAATGTCTTTGATGACTCTAAGATCAATTTCACTATTGAAGATAAAATTTGTACTTCAAAATGGTACGAATTTTGCATATATATGAATACTTTAAAAAAAACTGTCTAGATAATGTGTTACAATATATACTATTTTTAAAGCTTAAATTTTTTTTTTTCACAATCGTAATGCTCAAAGTTGAGGGAATCGATTTGAAGGTTTTACAATGAGTTTTGAGATAAAGCTGTACTTTTTTCAATAAAACTTTGGCCTTATTTTAACCCTTTCCATTAAAATATGAATCCTCTCCAATGGATACAAAGTAATGCTAATGCTCACAAAGATGCAAACAAACACGACAATGTTTAGGTATTTTAGTCTTACCTTCATTCTCTTCTATTTTGGTGTGGAGAGAGAGAGAGAGAGAGAGAGAGAGAGAGAGGAGGAGTGTG